GTCTATGCTAATAGTGTTCTATGTCGGGTCTGGGCACTCATGATGTTTGTGGTACGGGCAGAAAGAAATTAGCAACTCGAAACTAGCAGAACTGCGAAACCGTCGAACTCAAAAAGATCGGTATATCAGGTTTCAGGGGCTTCATAAGTATTTGCTAGTACTTTGTATGTTGTGTGGAGTTGCCTTATTCCCAGTAGATATCCAGCATATCAACGAGCGGTGGTGAATTTGCTATGGTAAAGCTCCTTGATATACCTCTAGGCTAGGGAGCCTAGTATCCTGTCCGTCACTGTGTTTTCTTGGATTGTTGTGGTTTATGTTATTTTTTGAAGGTGGGTGCAAAAGACCGCCCGAGACACTAGCTCTGTTTGATATCATATAGAGGGGTCCAAAAATGAGGCTGACTCATTCCCGAATGGCCCAGCAATTAAAGGTATGAAAGTATTACAGTATTAGAAGTAAAATTGGGTCTTGTCGGTGTCAGTTGCTGAGCATTTATATATAATAAAATATATGAAAAGGCATGCGCAGATGAAACTTAGAAACTCGGAAACTCAGAAACTCGGAAACTCAGAATAACTCAAAAAGTCGGATGTCATTTCAGGGCTTCCATATATTATGCCGCCAACATGCCAACATTAACTTTCAAAAACAGCAAGCTGTTCGTACACTTCGGAATTGGTCTAAGGGTATCAAAGGTCATATTTCTTCTACGAATACAATCTCTGTCTGCCTGCCCGCCCTGCATACCTCCCTGCCCGCCCACCTGCCTGCATGCCTGCCTGCCCACCTGCCTGCATGCCTGCCTGCTCACCTGCCTGCCTCCGTCCATGCCTGCTTCCCTGACCGCCCACCTGCCTGCCTCCCTACATGCCTGCTCACCAGCCTGCCTGCCTGCCTGCCTGCCTGCCTTCTGCCTGTATGCCCGCCCGCCTGTTCAATTTTGTTGTCTGTTACTTAGTTGATAAATGGAAAAATTATTGGTTATAATTGATATCCTGCCTTTTAGGTATAGGGCTACATGTTTATAAAAGACCCATGGAATGATTTCAGTACTAATTATGCCAAATAACGTAAAGATGCATGTGTGAACAACTTTCGAGTTTACCTAGTAGCTATTTGTACACATGAGAATTAAGACATTCCAAAACTATTTTAAGTCCATCATTTATTGAAAGGTTTCCTTAATATTTTTCATCCTCACCAAAGTTGTACTGTAATTGTCATCATGAACATCTGACGTCTCCATCACCATTTTCTCATTGCATCATTCATACACATGCAGTTACATCTCATTCTCAATTCTATACTTAACTAGCTGCGGTTACCCGCTGCGCTAAGTAAAATCGTGCTACTAATTCATAGTACTAATAATCGGACACAATAGGAATATTGGGGAAAAATGGAGAATAATATTGCACACAATATCAATATTTAGAAATCAGTGAAATAAGATAATGAGCATGGTAAAAAACGGTTACGTATGACATTTATATGACTGCACAACCCAACTTAGAACCCCTGGAACATAATGGTAATAGTAATATGGTGTAAATGAGGAAAAGTTATTATAACAGCCTGTACGAATGGGTTGGACTTTTCATTTCAAAGCCTCTTGGTAAACAATGTTTTTCGTCTTCTTTTCTGGTGCTAATATGTAGAGATTCCTGGCGTCTCCAACTGTTGAGCTCCCCACGTACAGCTGTCCGTGGGAGAAGCAGGACTGTCCGAGGTGCAGACCGACAACAGACAGCGTCTGGCCCTGGGCTTTGTTGATGCTCATGGCGAAGCTTAGTTTGATGGGGAATTGTAGGCGCTTGAACTGGAATGGCACGTCTGTGGGGATGAT